GGGGGGGGGGGCCTGTGCTCGGAAGCGGCTGGGCGGCGGAGGCCCGGGGACCCTTTTGGCGTGTTGCCTCAAGGCATGGCTCTTTTGCCCTGCTGGGCTGGAAGTGCCTCCGGCCTCGGGGCCGCCCGGCCAGAGCAGCCTCGCATATCCCCCTCCCCACCTTCGCCTCTCCTGCTTCCTCCCCATGCCGACATGAGCCAACAGGGTCCCTTGGAACCCGGGGCCTCGGGGCTTCGTGTGCCTGGCAGCAGCTCCCACGCCTCCTCCCCGCAGTACTCCCAGGTGTCCAACGAGCAGCTGGCCCAGGCTCTTCATTCAATCTCCAATCGCCTTGGTGCGTGGCCATCGGCCTTTCCTTGCCCATCCGTCTCGCTGGCACTGACCCCCCCCCCGCTCCCTGCCCGTCCTCCGCCTCGGCACGGCCCGTGTGCCGGGGATTCCGCATGGGTCCCTGGACAGCGCGTGTGGCCCACCTCTTGGACCAGACCTCGACGGGGGTTGATCTCCTGCTGAATACCCAGCGCGCATTGGATACCGTGCGTGCGCATTGTCATCTTGCCATCTCGCCCCCCTTGGCTCGCCTACTTACCGGCTGTTCCTACCGGGTGGTCTTGTCTCGCGGCACCGCAGGCCGTTTACGAGCCGATGACGCTGGCCCTGCTGGCCGCATCCCATGCAGCCGAGCACAGCGGCACCTGATGGCCCAATCTGGTGCACGTGCACCGACCAGCGCACAGCAATACAGTTCCCGCGGCGCGGGTCGGCTCCCCTCTGTTCTCTTCTGACACACCCGTGTGGGAAGGTGTATTTTGGGAAGACGCCTTGTGGGCGAGGATGCGACTTCGGCCCAGGGCCATGCTCTGAGGAGAGGGAGGGGGGAAAAAAAAGGCAGGCATCTCCTTAAAGGGGGATCTTCCCGGTCAGGAGCTCCCAGTACATGCGGAAGTCCCCCATGAGCGACCACATCGGGTGCTTGAAGGTCGCGGGCTTGTTCTTCTCGAAGAAGAAGTGGCCAACCTATGTTCGCGGGGTGGCATGTGTTAGAAGCAGGCAGGCCAGCAGGGGATGGAACTCATGGCATCGAGGCGGGGGGGGGGGGGGGGGGGCAAAGCCCGTGCGCACCCAGGCAAAGGCATAGGAAGTGATGATGCCGCCCAGAATGAAGAGGGGGTTCTTGAGGACGACGGCCGCGGTCAGAGCCGCCAGACCGGCCGTGGTGCCGGCAACTGGCGGCGGAGGTACACCAGTCAGATGGCATAGCGACAAGGAGAGAGGCAAGCAGAGGCGCAGAAAGACAAGGAGAAACAGCGAGAGACAGGGAGAGAGTGCCGAGGAGGGCCGGTGATGATGCGTACAGTGCAGGCGCCGGTTGGTGCGATCGCTGTGCTGGAACACATAGA